TTTCTCCACAGTTAAAAATTTCAGCAACACCTATATCAAGTGTTTCAGGAATGGCATGAGATTCTACTGCCAGAACAATTTCCTGCTTCTGAGCTAGCACTCCATTTCCTGTCCTAGAATGATAAACACAAGTTCCTTAGAGAATGAAGTTCCCAGGATGCCCACTTGAACTGATTCTCTATAGCATCAGGCTTGGAGCTCAGTAATCTCTGAGCTTCTTGATGAGAAATTATCTCTTCCACTAGCCCTTCCTGTTTCCTTCCATGAAGAGAAACTGACTTTCCAATGTCTCCAGTTTATTTTCCAAATCCTGTAGGGCTATCACTGCTTCCTCTCCTTCCTCTGGGTGATGTTCTTGAACCCAAATCTGTACCTTCTTGAGTTGGATGGCAACAAACTGCTCTAACACCACCAGTCCCAACATTTGTTCCTTGTTGGTCTCTCTGGCCTGAGCCGTAGACAGCAACGTTTTCTGCAGGTAGTTCACAGCCTCCAAAGGGCCGCAGTGAATACTGTAAACAAAACTGTATGATTCAGTGTCCAAAAATTACGTTTTTGGAAAAGTGACTTTATTACTATTAAAAGAAGAGAGGGCAGGGACAAGGGGAAAATGAGAACCAAGACCTGTCATGTAAAGGTACAAGATCTGAATGATGAATGTAACTGTACTGTATACCTAAAATGTACCAATAAACTCAATGAGGAAAAAAATAGTTGTATATAGAATTCTAAGTTGAAAATAATTTCCCTTTAAAATATTTTGTGAAAAAATAAAATAAAATCTCATAATGAAATAAGAGAATAATAATAGTTAGTGCACTGTATCATTATCTTCAAAACAGTTACTCAGAGTATAAGACATAAACCAAAAAGATTCTTACAAAAAAAGAAATGAACATATTTCTGTTATTGTCCCTTTCAAATTTATAAACTATTACTCCATTATTTTCTGGCTCCTTGTGTTGCTGTTGAGAACCTTGAAACCATTCCAACTCTTGACTTTGTAAATATTTGATTTTTAATTTCCAGAAGCTTTTGTGAGCTTCTTTGTTCTATGTTCCAAGTTTTCAAGATAATGGGCTTGGAGTGATTTTTAACTGCTTCAATCTGGAAAATTATGTCTTTCAACAGAGGGAGTGTGTGTGTGTGTGTGTGTGTGTGTGTGTGTGCTTGTTTTTTTTTGCCTCTGTTGTGTGTGTGTGTGTGTGTGTGTGTGTGTGTGCTTGTTTTTTTTTTGCCTCTGTGTCTCTCAAATGCTTCTAATTTAGATATTGAACCTATTACTTTTCTTGTCTTTTTTCTTCTCTGTTCCATCTTTTTTCTTTTCATTTTATTTCTGGAGGAAATATAGTATTTTCACTCAATTTTATCATCCTGTCTTTCTAAGTAGAATATTTAAAAATGAAATCTGCTATCATATTTTTAATTTCCAAGTATGCCTTATTCTGTGAATTAGGTTCTTGTTTCTTGAAAATAAGATGATTTTTTATCTCTTTGAGGATGTACACAATAGGATTATGGAGGTTTATACCCCAGCAGAATAAGTCCAGGTTGTTTTTGTCTGCTTGCTCTGGTCTGTGTCATTCATGCTAGAACCTTAGCCCTGATGTGTGCTGATCTTTAACTGTCTGTTTCTGTGAACACTAGAGGGTTAAAGTTGATGAAAGCTCTGTACTTGTTTTATTTGGAAGGTGATCTGACTAAATCAGTTTCTGAAAATCTGTTTCCTACATTTGTACCAACATCTTGAGATTTTTTTCACTAAAGCTGGAGAAATTCTACAGAAGCATCTTCAGTCCCCCTTACTGCATGTTTGCACCAAGTGGTGGGGGTGGGGGATCAAGTGGCAAGAGAACTGGCTGGTTACAGCATTTGGTGTGCAAATGTTTGTTTGTGGCTACCATTTTCAGCATCCTGTATGCAGAGAGCTCTAGCCCAGAGATACCAAATTTTACCCCGATACCATCAAAAAGGGGTGTAGTCACCCAGGCCAGGGAAAGTGCTTAGGTTCTACTTGTTGCTTAGATAGAATGAAACCCTGGATTCACCCTTAACTTTGCATCTGCCTCCAGAGGTAAAATCATGCTGCCAACACTGGTGCCTTGGGAGAATCTGGTTGCTTTCCCAGTGCTGGCTTAGAATTCAACATTCTTGGGTCTGCTATGTCAAGTATACCATACTTTCTGCTTTCCATCTTCCTAAATGCTTCAGCTATTTGCCTCTTCTCTCCACTTCTTTTCTTCTTATTCTAGTGGATTTATTTTTTTAATTTCTCATGTTATTATAATGTATTTCATTAGTATGTGTTTGTAGTACATGATATTTGCATTCATCTTATGATATAGGTACATGTACTTAGCATATCTTAATTCTTTTTATTCCTTTTCCCCTCCCCATTCTCCTCCCTCCATCTCTAGATCTCCTTCTGTTTGTTGGTTGGTTTCTTTAGTTCATGTTTTTACATGTCTTCACATGAGGATCTTTCTCCAGTTTCACTTTCAGTATTTTTTCTTTTCATCCAGAATTGGAATTGTAAGTATGGAATCTTCTTCCACTGACTCTGCAGACATCCTAAGTTATAATACTTCAAGAAGACAGTCACGGCAGGATATAGGCTTCAGAAAAATATTGTTTTCTTTACCAGTACACCTCTAGCTCAGAAACTACAAAAGCTTCACTGTCCAGGGCAGATTCACGCAAGAGGCTCACAAGCTGCTTCCCAGAACCCCCTGATGCAGACTCTAAAGAATATTTGAATTTATAGGCTTTAGGATGACATTTCATACTTAAAAAGAAAAAATATACATTATTCCTGTGTTATGACTCTTAATAAACACTCATTTCCATTAATACTTTTATTTGTATGAAAGTAGAATAAATATTTACATTTTCAAAATGTTTTAAAGATCTAGCATCTCATTAGAGTCTCATAATAATAATAACAGAATTTCATTATTCATCCTCACATAATAAACTAAGAACTAAGCTCAAGGAAGTCAAAAGGTTCGCACAGAGTCACATAGCTAGTATGTAATGAAGTCTGAATTCCTACTCCAATGTATCTCTAATTTCAGTGATTTTTACACTACATTAAGCTACCTGGATTATTTTGCCCAAACTCAGAATAAGTGGGATTTAAGTACAAAATAAATTAAGAAAAAAGAGTTATTGGTCTTTATGTTTGTTAAAAAGAAAGAATAAAAATTAAATATTTAAATAAAGATTTAAATATTCCTTTGAAGGTGTGAATTACATAAAGCAAATACAAAAATAAAATATAAAAGTGTCTTTCAGAGCCCTACGGATTATAGCTTCTCAAATAAATAGTATTTGTAACATACTTTAAGATCATTTGAGGGCTGGGGATTTAGCTCAGGGGTTCGGTGGCCTGCCTCGCAAGCGCAAGGACCTGAGTTCGATCCACAGTACCACAAAAAAAA